GGCTTGTGATTGGAAGTCCTTCATTTGATGATATGGCTGTGGCTCCAAAAATGCTCCCAAACCCACCCCAAATCCCTGGTAGCACCTGGCAGGTTGACCTCCTCTTCAGGTCGTCTATGTTTCTTTTTTTTCATGTTCGCGTCGGTCCACCACAGCCTCACGGTTTGACATACAGCCATATTATATATATATATATATCCATATATAAATTATGGGACTGTTTGATTTGAGCCGTGTCTTCTCGTCAGTGGTACGGAATGTTCGGTCATCACGATGAGAAACATACTTGGCGCCTGGACAACTGGAGTGACCTCCTCAGACTGGAGTGACCTCCTTTGAAAGAAAACCTACGGACAGGTGGAGAAAGCCAAGTTCCCAGTCATGAGCGAAATCATCATTTTTTAAAAGAAGCTCCTGATGAAGCAGAGATCAATCAGGAGAGACATTATTCATGAATATTCATCAGGAAATCCAGCTTGGTACCCTTGCTGAAGGGGGGGGTCAACTACCAAGGCCAAACTGCCGATCAGGTCTTCGTTTGGTCGATCATGAGTGTCCCTCCCTCCCGTTCCCGCTCCAGCTCCCGCTCCCGCTCTCGCTCTCGCTCTGCCTCTCTCTCTCTCTTCAGCGCTCAGATCCAGGATTGAAACATACGTTCTCAAAATGGCCAGAAGTCAGTCGGGTTCTTTATAGCTGTTTGCACGAGCTGACCGTTTTCATGGCACGGAGGTGGGCGTGTTGAGAAGCATGATCCACGAACGAGATTGAAAGAAGAACTGTTGTGTACCGCCAAGAAGCATGATCTACTCTGAATGCGTCATGACTCCAGGTCAGAACGATTGAAAGTCACGCGGTTGGATACCGCCCCTGACACTGCCCGGTAGGCCCTTAATGCGGCCTACAGCAATTTGACCCGCACAGATGATCGTGGCCTGGCTTTCGACTACTTCGTGCCTGCTGACGGGGTGGTGAGAGGGGACAGCATCACCCGGTCCATCTCGATTTTGATCAATTTGGATCAGGCAAGTGTTGCAGATGACTCTCCATCCTGAATCCCTTGAGCTTGAAGAGAACCGATGTCTTTGATCTCCATCCATGTGGAGGCGATATTTTTGGACTTCAACAGTAAGGTAATTTATATAGCACTAGATGTGCATGATGCTAAAGGAATCAACCGATGACAACCCACTGAGGGCAGAGTTTGATTCCAGAACATGTTTATACAACAACTATCGTATCCGATCGAGAAGCGCTTGATGCCTGAGGTGAATGACCAGCTAATGAGTTGGCAGATCATTGTTGAACCTGCGTGGTGTGGGATCAAGATGAGAGATTTGGATCTAGTTGTCATGAGCAGCTGCTTGATGTCCTTGTCGCATGTTGATTCTCAAAACTCAAAACCTGCTGAAGTTCTTGTTGGCGTTGTTCCTTCAGCTGGCCTCATGTGGCCTCCATGGCCGAGCTGCATCTTTTTGATCCCTTCCCTGCCAGGAAACGTGCTAACGATGCACGTTACTGTACTGGCTTTGCTAACGCATTCGTCGTAGCTTCAGCGTAGCGCCCGAAGCTGCCATGAAGAAGACCGAAGCTTTCGAATTTATTTGGGTCCACGGTCCAGTTTCCCGCCAGTCATTGTCTTGTGTTTGGATTTTGTGATCCAAAGGGGCTTGAACGGCTGTTTCTGTATGTTTCCGCTACTGTAGGGGCTAGCGATATCCCAGATAATGTCACATACATCATACAACAGTCCCCGGCAATCCACCAAGACGCATTGTGTGGTGGTTCTTTTCATCTCAAAGGATCCGTTGCAAACGGATCCGTGGGCACTTCAGGATTGCAGACTCCTTTAAAAGCCGGCGGCTTTGGTTCAAGCCGAGTTTCTTGGGCTTGTGGTTTTCGCCTGATGCCTTGGGGGACCTTGGGGGTCAATGATGGTCCTCAGACCCGGAAGCGGGAAAACCGAGGACCGTCCTGCAAGACACGTGAACAGAACGAGAAGGTTTTCGATCCTTTTCGGACTGGTGCGACGTGCTTCGAGGGAAGGGATACCCCAAGGTAGTGCCGCATGGTATTTGCACTAGAGGGGGGGGTCATTCCCTTTTTCCCTACGAAGCACCAGTGAGTTTTGTTCTCTGGTGGCTGTAAGGGTCCTGCTCATGCAGCTTTCCACAGCTGTGACCTGAACTGTGGGACGCTGGGATTGTTCCGTTAGTAGCCCAGTGGCAGGGGACCGTGACCCCTCAATCCGTTCGACGGGACGAGTGGAAACACCCGTCGTCCTGTTTTGGGCCGTTAGACACCTGTGACCCACTTCAGACCGCCTGACCTGTATTGATCAAGCGGAATCAAGCGCTTGTAACGCCCATGGGTTCGAACGGAGGCGCGTACGTACACTCCGTGGGAGGAGGCGCGGGTTTGGACGCTTGTGGTCCGGAGGCCCCCGGTTTTTCAGAACGTCAGACTTGCGCATGTCCATTTCAACCACACCAACAGAGGTTGCACATCCCCAAAACTGAGGCGCCTGGTCTTTTTCCGCTCACCCCACGGGTCTTCGCACAGTGGCTCCGGGAGCTGGAGCTGGAGCCGTTTTTCTCTTCGCACCGCGTGGGCTGCAGCTGCTTCTTCCACTTCCCTCGCTTTGGTTTCGGGTGGAGTGGATCCACAACTGTACAGAGGGCAAAGGCACCAGGCTGATGAGATGTATCTCTAGGCCGATGCGCCGATGAGGTATATCAAGACCAACATAGTGGGTTGAGAGTTTGATGGCACAAATGTCCAATGTTGGTGGTTTAGGCGGACCTCCATTTGTCTAAGACATTTTGGTGTGCCAGCTGCCATCTTCTCTGAAACCAATGTGGCTGTGACATGACATAAATGGGTTTGTTCGTGTGAGCCGTAAGCTCCTTGTTTTTCAAGTTTTTGTGTGAAATGCGTCGTTTTCTGAGAAAACTGGTGCCCCCTTTTGAAGGTTCTCTCGTTTTCTGAGACGGTTTTTCCGTGGTTGTTCCATTGGTGTTGTTCCATTTACGTTGAACTCAAGCGTCCGAGACAGACTGACAGTCGGGCACCAGTAGACCCGAAGGGAAGAGGAAGGGGAAGAAGAGGAAGGAGCAGGACAGAGAGGAAGGCAGAACGGTGCGCCAGTCGGTTGTCTCTGGCTTTCATGGTCTTTTTCTCTTTCGCTCCGCTCTCTCTCTCTCTCTCTCTGAATCTTTATCTCGTTTTTTTTTCTCTCTCTCTCTCTCTCTCCCCCTCTCCATCAGTGACCACTTACATACCTCCCTGCCTTCAGAAGGCTTAGAGTTTACATGCACCCGTGCCAACTGTGTGTCACTTGCAGATAACTTAATCACAACTTTCGGTTCAAAGAACAAATTCAAGAAGGACGTGAAGCCAGCAGCTTGAGGACTTTGGCCGGCTTTTCGACGGCCCCCTCAAAGAGATATGTATCTCAAAAAAAGGAAGCCAGAGGCATCAATTTGTCCTACCCGAATTGCTGTGTTGCACCGTCCCGACTCACTCTTGAAGCGGGGCCGCTCCGTTTCGATCCATGTCTAATAAGCTTGGGCGCGTTTCCGACGCATCCAGCACGGAACCCGCGCGCACGTGCCTCCGTAAAGCATGTTCCTCCTTGGAGGCAGGTGTGAGACCGCACCACAACAAGGCCCCCATGCCTGAATCCAAAGGGGTGGGAGTCGGACCCTGGGGACCGTCGAAACCGAGACCAAATCCGACGTTTTCCCTCGAAAAAGGGTGGACGGTCAGCAACGAATCTAGAGTTTAAACAATGCATATATATATATATATTATACACTTATTAATTTTTGGGATATATAATTCACCGGGGCACCTCTCAAAAACACGCTAGTCCTCACGCTCACGTTCATCGTCCTAGACCGGGGTCGGCGGATGTTTGTCATTGTCCAAGTCCTGACATTTTACCCACAGACCCCCAGAGTCACAGAACCATATACCCATCGAAGATGCATGTTTGCTTTATGTAAGGCTGCAGCCTGAGTGGAGATCGCAGCGCTTTGCCATACCTTTTACCGTTCACCGCGACCCTCGGTGTCGCTTCACCGATCGGGTGCCCGTGCTCAATGAACCCCCTGAAAATGCGCCGCGCGTGCGATCCGAAATCGGATGGAAAACGACCACGCAAGCGCTGACGGATGCGTATTTTCCGTAGAGCCCAGGAAGGTGGACATGTTTTATTGTTTGTTGATTATTTTTGAAAGAAACGATTCATGGCGCCAGTAGTTCTTTTTTAAGACTCACAAACACGGACTTGCACACTTGAGTTCTATTGGGACAGCGGAAAACACAATTCATTCTTGGCAAAGTTGAAGATCTCCGATTCCCCCAAGGTTCTTTCCCTCCATGGGGCTGACTTACGAAACTCATCACTGAACCCCACGCCACAATATGGTACTGATTGACCTCACGTATGACGACTAGTGAGCAACTGTTCAAGGCTTTGTAAGCCAAAAGATCCCTTGACTGACCAGTCCACTCGCCCCCAACTCCTGACCAACCAGCGCGGCAATCACCAATCCGCCGTGATCACTGCTTGCAGAAAGAGACCATTGAGCTCCCAGGACTTGGAGGTAGTTCTCTCGCTGGTGCGGGGCAAATGGACCTACTATACTATTCTGGTTTATATCCTGCTATTCTTTCCACTGACGACATCTGAGGACCACATCTAAAACAGCACGCCGGACGAACCATGAACAACCCCTTGGTTTGGCAATGGTATACCCACCCTGAAGTTGATTGAACGATGATGAACAATGCATCCAAAAATCTGACACCTTCGACACACACACACACACATTGTAATGTGTATCCTGTATCCTCTTCTGATGTTTCACAGTTTTTCACTGTTTCTTCTCCAGAAGTATGATTTTCTATGATTTTCTAAGGTGTTTCCTATAGTTGTTCTCTCCACCCACATGTTCCAACCTTCCCGTGTCGACCCCCAATGTTTTTCTCCACATACGCTCAGCAACACGTCCAGCACACCCAGCCGAACCTAGCGTTTCTGCACTTCATGTTGCCATGGAGCTTGATGATCCAGGCCTCGTAAGACCGCGTCCAGCCTCCGGTCGTCCGGCTCAGAGCGCTCGTCGTGCTCTCGCGGGGTTCGGTCGGGTCAAGCCGTGAAGGGATGTTGAATGATCCTCTCATATCCTCTCCAAGCAATTTGTGTTCTTCGCACTTTGTGGACGCCGAACAGAATTTTGGCCTGTCGAAGGGGCCCTTCAATCGATGGGTTGGCCAATGTCCAGTATTAAAGACATGTGAAGGGAGATGTACTTCTCCACCCCCTGTTTATACTTTATACATCAATCGAGTCGAAACGCTGCCACGGGAAAGCACAAGACCTGGACCTTCGGCTTCGCCGTGAACGGACACCTTTTTCACACCCGAATGGATCTCCTGACCTTCCCTTTTTATAAGGAGTGAAGAGTCCTCACCGAAGAGGCCCCGCAACAAGATGCGCACGCACAAGCCTCGCAACAGAATCGTGGAAGAACAGGTCAGAACCATAGGCAAAAGATGCATTTGATCACATTGGAGCCCTGAAATTCAGCTCAGACCACTAGAAACTCCTTTATCCAATTCGGTGTCATTCGTTTCAGGCAAGGAGGAGACGGAGGAGGATGGCCCAGGCCATCTTCAGATTGGAGAGTGGACTGGACAGAGACAGCGTCGCCGCAGCATGGCCCGTGAAAGGTAGATGAGGAACGGGTCTCCCTACATCGAATCCCTGCTGAGGTGAGGCACTGTTCATCCGGATTCCATCAGATTCCTGATTGTCAGATCCCGAAGTTTTGGCAAATGACCGCCGTTCGTTTGGCTCTTTTTTGGGGCCGGTGGTGAGGGTGAACAGAAAGGGACGCAGCTTTTCCAACGAACCTGCAGTTCTTTGCACGGTCGTGGTTCGACGGTAAAAGTCACCGATTTGCCACACGTTGATGGTTTTTGGGCACGTCGATGGATCAGCTCAACAGCTCGTTTGAGCTGGTGCAGCGGTTTCTTCCTCCAGCGGCAGCTCCGACCTCTCTTTTGAAACACGGAACAAATGAATAGCCTCCCAGACATGGATTGTAAAGCCTTCATATGGGTTGTTTTTCTCACGCGATGCAAACATCCACCGTGAAGATCGGATCAAAGCTGTTCGAACTTTCAAGATCGACGCTGGTTGTCGTATGTTCCTGGCCGGTGCCGGTGGTTTCACAAACGTGATCCTTCGAACATCGCTAGTAGGTTGGAGGCCATCGCCATACTCGTAACAAGAAGCTACGAACGGAACCAACGGGCATCGCTACCGAATGGAGCAAGAAGCTAGTAGCTCCTGGCCTAGTAGCAAGGATGACCCGAACGGAACAAGGGCAAGTCCCACCGTCCTTGGCGACGGACGTCGCACACCACGAAGGCCGGCTGGCGGAGCGTCTTCGATGGTCCCCGGACGGTGAAGACGTGGTGATCGGGGGGGCGGGGCAGTGAGTGGAGTGGGTGTTCGGCCACCAGAAACATCCATAGCATGATATCAGATGTTCAATGATGTTCAACATCATCAGTGGGTTGACAGGGGATTCCGTGTGGTTTCTGGCACAGGCCTTTCCTAGTGCTTGCTAGTGAGTTTCTGACTGGGTGGCCTCGATTGGGATGAATATATCGCAACATGGCAGGGTCTTTGCCAAAGAAGTCCTTCTTTGGCAGTCACAAGAGCAGAGTGTGTACCTCTACACATTCAATTTGTTGATGATCTAGCGTTATGTCGGGCACGCCAGCCATAGATACAAGGAGCCAACATAGTTTTATAAAGCAAAAACAAAGCAAAAAAAAAGCAAAAGGCAAAGCAAACAAAAAAGCAAAAAAAATGTAGCTGTGCGTATTTGTCGCTTTTTTTCACTTTTTTTTGCTTTATTTTCGCATTTTTTTCGCTTTATGTTCGCTTTTTTTTCGCTTTTTTCCTAGGAGGGTACAGCAAAAACATATTTGTCGCTTTTTTTGCACTTTTTTTTCGCTTTATTTTCGCTTTTTGTTCGCTTTATTTTCGCTTTTTTTTCGCTTTTTGTTTTGCTTTGTTTTTGCTTTTTGCTTTGTTTTTGCTTTGTTTTTGCATTTTCATTTGCTTTTATTTTGCTTTTTTTTCACTTTTTTTTCACAGAAAAAATTATTTGATGGTTGGCCATGTATGGCTGCCATCGCCCAACATAAATCTAGCGTTTTCTGCACGACTTTCCCAAAAGCAATGGCGCGGGCCGGGTATGCGCATTCAGCGCTTTCTTTTGGATAGAGACTTCCTGACTTTACAAGAAAGGCCTCAAACGTCCTCCCCATGGCCTCAGATCCTGGCGGACCCCTCTCCCTGTCTCTCAACCCCGATGGCTGAGCTCCCAGCGTTGAGGGGATCACTTTTGAAACCCTCTTCCGTGAGGTCCTCCTGAATTGGGTTCTTCTTTAAAGAGGGGGACTGAGCCCCCTCCTCCTTCCGTTAGAACTGAGATGTTCGGTCGGCTGAGGCTCTACCTCTTCGCTTTCTGGTCACAGTTCAAGCCCTCCGAGCTTGGACGCCCCAGCCAACCGACCAGACACGAGGTCTGAGGTGTGCAACCCATCTTGTGTGTGTGTATGTGCGGGTGGGTGCCTGAAATTACGGAGAAACCGTGGGTTCCTTTCGATCATGGAGTTGATGTGACCTCAAGAAGACTTGATCGAACATTCTTGCATCAGATTGGCCATGCTTAGCATTCCTAGGGGGACAGTCAAGTATCACATTCAGTGGGATGCAGAAAAGAATCCCTTCAGGTGGTGCGATGCTGGATAACTATTGGCAATTGTACTCTATATAGTCGTGCAATAAGGTACAGTAATAAGGTCAAACATGACATCACATATCATCACATATCATACATCTTCATACCAATCTCTTCTAACCATGCACTGCATTCCACGCTGTTTTTTGGGTCTGCCGAAAACAGGAACAGGCTCCGCGTCGCACTCGACCGATCCCTGAGCGGCGCAATCCAGACGTGGACCGTTATGAATCGATAGGTGATGGGTGCTGATGGATGCTGACATGTTCCATAGTCTTCCCCCAAGCCAAGGAGGGCCTAAGTAGGGCCTATGTCCCTTCTTCCAAAGGGAGGGTTTCTCAGTGGGAGGTCTTTCTATTTTGACATATACCCAGATGGATTATCATGGAATATCTACATGGACCCCATGAACAGACCCCTGATCAATGGAAGATGTACCGCGCCATGGAACCCTTTTTGCCTCCACCCCAACTGAGGGGGTGAGAACCGAGCATCCTAACCAGCTGGGCTATAGGATAGGGGATTCTGTTGCGCACATGATCGAGATCGTCCCATGGGGTGTGGGTCCCAAGATTGAACGATTGCTGCTTTGCTGGTGGTTGCAGATGTTCGGAAGGATTTCTCGCACAGATCTGGGAAATGACGAGGATGTGAACTACCATGAACTACCTAAAGACTGCCTGGAACGGTTATTTTTGAGGGGTGGTGCCTGACGTACAGTTCTTCCGCTGATGTGAACACAGCTTTGAAACGATGATGTCGGATGAGGCCATTTCTCGTCGACTACCTCATTGAGGAGGGGAGTTGACCTGGTGCCACATCGCCTTGCCAGGGTGAGGAAACATGTCGGTGAAGGGGAAAGATGCTGAGTGCGGACCATCCGTATGGAAATGTATGGAATATATATGGTATGGATATGTCTGGATGTTTTCCCTGCGTGATTTTTGACCATGTCACCATGCTCAGGTCTGCAGTTGGACCGTCACCCCAAATCAGGTCCTTTCTTTCCAAGAAAACACCACTCTACCCGATTCGCCCATCATGAAAAACGCAACATTCACGCTTAAAAGGACCGAACTACATCATCAGAAACCGCTGGGTCTCATCTTCAAATACACACTGGAAGAGGTCCACATGGAACCTGAGTTCACCACGTCCGGCCTGGTCCATGTGTTTTTCGGTTCCATGTGGCTCTACGTCACACCGGGTGTATGCTCCATCTCATCGGATCGTTGACCCAACAAGACCGCCTCCCGGACCGCCGAGCCGCGGTTTTCACCGCGCCGCGCGGAGCCCCCAGGAGAAAGGCATCGGGAGCGAAGAGGCGGCCGTGGTGGGTTTTCGGAACGGGTGGGCGGTCAGGCCTTGGAGAGGAAGAAAGCAACCAGAAGCTATGAGCATTTTGTGAGTCATTTGAGAAGACTGAAGACTGAAGACTTGAAGTTCCTTCGACTTGATCTATCCAAAAGGAAGATGGGATTAAATATCGAGTAGAATCAGGTTTTTTTCTTGATTGGTTGCAGCATGCAACGCATACAGTATGAATTAAAACAGTACTCGGTTCTTGGTTGGATCCAGGTACTTTCTTGTTTCTGGAACTTCACACCGACTCAAGTCAAAGGGTGCACCACCACACGTCGCGCGGGGAGTTCCGCTCCTGGCAACCCTACTAGGAGCAAGGACGCTACTAGGGGGCCGTATACTTCTATTTCTTCGGTCAAAGACCGAGACGTCGTTCGTTCGTTGGTTCTTTCGTGGGGGGGTTCCAGAGTTCCCCCGTTGTCCAACAAGGAACACAAAAAACACGACATGGAGACGAGGACGGTTTTCAGAACCAGGATCACCGCGGTTCAGACACCGCCGACACCAACACTGCCCCAAACATCGCGGATGCCGCGCAACGAAAAAGACGCAACGGATGCCGATCGGCGGATGTGTGGGAGGTCTATCAGGATGTCCTGGATCTCTTCGTCTACTCACGGCTGCCCTTCCTAATTCTCGCCACCCGGACGAGTCCGACCGGCCGGTAGGGAAGGGGGCGGAGGAGCGAGGGGCGTGGGAGCCAGGGCCTGGAGCGGTTGAGGTGTGGGTGGTTGATGGTTGGCCTCAGGCTTCGCGGTGGGGGGAGAAGTGGAAGACGCAAGCAAGCTGTTTCTCAATGGGCGTATTGATCCAAGAGTGCAGTTTCGAGTTGAACTCGTATTGGGTCGTACGTTTCGGCTTCAAGCTGGGGAATCTCTCAAGTGCAGAAAAAAGAAGAACACCGCTTAGAGGTTGATTTGTCCATTTGGGAGCTTGAGAGATGAAAGAAGGGTTGGTATTAGTTGGTGTATAATCCTCATGGCTATCTCAAATGTCCACTGCAGGCCATGTGGGACACGAAAGACTGTGTCTTTTGACAGGCCGAGGCCCGCACATGCAAAGGCCGCAAGCCTGCCCCCTACTTGCACCATGCGCCCTGGTTTCCTGCAAAGGGCACCTTCTATCTGCCGGTGGTATCCTCGTAAACAGTCAAACGCGGAATATCACCAGGTACCCCCCAGGAACTGCAAAAGAACCAGGTACACCTTTGGGCTGACCCGACACCGACACCCGTTTTTTTCCACCCAAAACGGGCACAAACCCGGTGCCCAAAGGTCTGGCACCCTTGGCCATTGACCCATCATGTGCCCTGAGACTCTTCAGGAACGGAATCGGTGGCACTGGCTGGGACAGGGAATTGTTGGACGGTAGGATCTTGCATGTGGGGATGCAACGAAAACTCAGGGCGCGAGCCACCTGGGTGGAAGAAGCCCCGGAGTCGATTTGGTACAAGACCCCCTCTTCATGATAAGAGGTCGGAAAACCATCTGTCCAGTGTGACCGGTCCTCTTGCGACGAGCGTGGGTGCACCGCACCCAGAGATCCAGGTCGGCTTTTGCGCGGAGATGGAAAGCTGTGGCTGCCGGGAACCTAAATGGATCGACCTGGGTAATTATGGATACTCATCCGGCTTCAGCCCCCCCCCCAACACGCATGACATCGCATGACAAGCTGGAAAGTTCAAGTATTGTGTTTTTCTTCTAACCTCTGCGCAATGATCAAACAGCTTAAAGCACTAGCTAAAAAGTCTATTCTACATCTATTTCTAAAAAACTTTACTCGTCACTTTGTAAATTCATCTTGATGTTGTCATTGCTGGTGTCATTGATGCAGTGGCTCGCTATGGGTGTTCATGAAAGTTGCTGCAGACTTAGGCATAAAGATGCCACAAAAGCAACTAAACAACTAGTTAACTAGTAGTGCTGCAGCAGACTCTGCAGCAGCTGCTGCAGCCATCTAGCGCCATGGGCACTCACCATGAGCACGAAAAACGCTAAGGTTTGTTCCTGGTCAGCCAAACCTCACAAAACGATAAAGAGTAGAAAATATACGATAACCCCACGCGAGACATCATCAAGTTGCTGACCCTTTTACAACCTTATATGTGTTTATTAACACTTCGTACCCGGACCTTCAAGGGATGTCCAATGGAGGTCCAAGTAGTGTAGGGGCTTCCGAAGGTGCTTGTGAGTTATGCTAAGTTATGCCCGTTTAAAAGATACTATTAAACAAACACCACCCTACGACCATGCGACCACGCGACCGCGGTCGAACCACCGGCTTCGACCGAGATCGTGCCATCTTGGTGCTGGGCGCCGCCTCTGGAGTTCTCACCGCCGGGCACAGCAGATGTGATGTGAGATCTACCTCACCCAAGCAACATATGCCGACCAGGGAGCTCCAGTCAATCAAAGTATATGGAATATAATGCGGTTATGTGCGTATATAATACAAAGTATTACTAACGGTCAGAATAAAGCATCATGCAAGGTCGCTAAATCATGTTGGGTTCACTGCAATACCTGAATTTCCCGAAGAACACCTGGCCACCGGGCTGAGAGAGGGAAGGGGCTCTTACCGGTGCTCCGGGCAAAGAATGTGAGGACTGCCTCGTCGCATTGACTGATTCAGAGCGGTCAACGCGGGGGATGTCGACTCGTGCTTCCTCCTTGACCGCGTTTCCCACACTTCAATCTTCACCTCCCATGGTTGATGCTGACAACCGATGGTGATGCAGGTAACAGTGGAATACTGTGGAACTGTGTAGAAGTAGAAAGCCATCGTGGAAGTGTGGTAGAAGTAGAAGGAGCCTTAGCGTTTCTCATAATGCGGGTCTTTCTACAGGACAGGAAGAACCTCAGGATGAGGACAGGTATATCTCGCTGCCTGCTGAATATTTGGAGGTCTGATTCTAAAATGCATCATGTCCTTTGCCGTTGGCTCCTGGGGCGCAGAAGGGTGAAATGCCGAGACTGAACTTCCATGCCTGAGACCTCAGTGCAGGGCCGAGCAGGGCAGTAGGGCGTTGGTCCCAGGGCGGGCCAGTATTCGTTCCTGAAGCCAACTCATCACAGACAGGCCGGTGAGGCAGATGGTCAATGTTGTTTAACACAACCACTAATACTAAGAACCGACTGCTGGACGCAAACCAACTGCTAGTACACCCTAGCTGCTAGCTACGAGGGTCCATTCTGAGCCTTTGGGTTACATGCTTTATGTCTGTATTGTCCAGGTCAGGGCGGTTCTATATCGGTAGGCGGATGATTCTGTTTGGAGCATGACGTTCGAATCTGTTGGGCTGGGCGGACCTCCCAGGTAGTTGACTCATACTTCTAATTGAAGGGAAACTGGAGGTCCAGATCTTTCAAACGGTTCCACCGTACTGCTTTGTGGCGCCCTACATCGCCGTACCAGAAACGAAGCGCTTGATCTTCATCTCCGAAGCCTCAAGAAACCCACTGAAGCCCGAAAAGCATCCTCCACACCCCTCCACCTCCCTTCCCAGTTCAACCCCCAGCCTTCCAGCCTCACCCACTGGTCACCCACCAGCTGGTCACGTCCTCGCCAGGTCCTCCTCGTCACGTGTGCCTCGGTGAAACTCTGCACCGCGTGGCCCACCAGAGGTCGGGCCTGGACGTCCCTTCCGCACCCTTCCGCGCGTTCCTCCACCCTTCCGAAAGCGTCCGTCCGCTGCTACTAGTAAGGGCCTTGAAACGCGAGGTGCGATGGCCTCCAAGGTGCGTAGCTTCTTGTTACTAGTAGTAATTGCTGCTTTACTCTCTCTCTCTCTTTCTTTCTTTCTGAGATCCGTGGAGCGGTTTTGGGGAGAAGCAGAACGGACCGAAAAGAACGGACCTTCTGTGGTCGATGTCTGGCACCCGGTTCTCGGACAGACTGCTGCAGTGCTGCACTGCTGCACCAGTGGTTTTTCAGGGTCCATGTGAGGTTTTCACTGGGATCTGTTTGGTGCGATTTACTAAGGACATGTATCTTCAGGGCCGCCAGCCGGCGCTCCATTTCACGTCGGAGTCGATGGCGCTCCATTCGATTGGTTCGGATGGAGGAGCCGGCACCCATTGGTCGGTAGTTAGGTCTCCGTTCTCCAAGCGAACCAATAGTGAGGTGGTTGCAGTCCTTTCATATTCCTTTCTATCAATCATCCAACCTTCCGGTGGTTTGTTTGCTTGTTTCTGTTCCTTTTTTCTGTGTGTTTTTCGAGTGTAAAGGGGCACTCCTCAGATCTTCGGTTGAATGAGCATGGGCCCAAGCATGGGGTATATTGGACGCCGAGACGTTCCTGGGATTTGGGGCCAGAACTGCCAATTGCCTGGCTTAGCTGGAAAAGCGACTGAACGACAAGACCTTATGGGCCAAAAAAGCAAAGGGAGGCGCAGGCCGCGCAGGGCAAGCTCTTGAAGCTTCACCTTGAAGCTTCAGAACTCTTGGGGTCATGGCTCCCACCATTTAAGGGTGACTCGGGTGACCCGTGGCATTTGAGCCGCGACCGAGCCAAGCCGCAGGTGTCCTTACTGCTGGCGATGAACCGGAACCTCAGACCAAGAAGTGCTCTCCAAATTGGGCATAGCAACTGAACCCTAGCCTTCAAGTGTAAAATCCTTAGTAAAACCATGTTTCTTTTTTCGGGATTCAGGCTATTATATATATATATATCAATGGTGGTTCGAATCCTATAGCCTCTAGGGTTTAAGATTTTCAATGAACTGCCCATGTGATATCCAAGAAAATCACAAACAAGAGCTCGCGAGTGTTCCTTCAGGGCACCCCATGTGGAGAGGAAGCTTGGAAATGCACTGACCAAGGGGGGGTCGGAACCTGTAGTACTTCCAGGATTCTACGACAAGACAATGACATAGAGTCCCTTCACGACCCGAAAATAAAACTATGAAACCATTTGAGGTTGGTTGTCTGGGTTGCCTAGACTGGTTCCTCATACGCACCCCAAGCCCTGATGCAAGGAGAGACATTGGCAGATGAGCTTTCTGGATGTGAGACTTTTGCAACTGAACATTTGCGTTCCTACCGACTTGGGAAGCCCGGGACGGGCTCACCCCCTCACAAAAAAAGCAGCTCGTCGATGCCCGCTTTGTTCTGCCGCGGCTGTCGTGCCCAGTCCCCCTCGGCGCTCTCCTTCATCCAACAGAAGGTGTCCCCGAGCTACGTGATAAGCCAGGACACCAGGGGTGTCCTTCTCCGGGGCTTGTTTTTTTGCCGGATGTGACAGACCATGCAGGCCACATAGAAACATCAGAGGTCTTCATTGGGAGAATGCAGATGTTTTTAATATAATCAAATATATACATACAAATACAAACACTTGAGTAAATGTGGAGCCTCGTTTGCTTGTCATGCTTTTGTGTGACCTCTGGTCATATGAGGTTTGGCTAGGGTTACAAGCCTGCTAACTATGTGAACAACCGTTTCCAGAAACGTAAGGTCGAGCAACTCTATTTATGTCAAATATGTTCACACAGTGTGTGTTTTTGAAGCTTCTTAGTAACAAGAAACTCCTAGGTTGGAGGCCATCGCCAATAGGGTGGGGGCCATTGCTACTAGCAACAAAAAGCTTTCTTAGCGCCGAACTTTTGGAATGTGTTCTTTATCATGTCCATTTGATGGAGGCCATTTGACCGTGTCCGAGAGCTCTTCCTATCGGCACCGCCCGTGGCCGATAGGCGGTGATGTATTGGGCGGTTTCGCGATGAAAAGACACACCCAAATGAACTGCGAACAGTGCTGCCTTGCTCTAGGCCACTGGTTGCGTCATGGAATACCTAGTGGGAGTGGTTTGGGAGAGGCATCAACAAGGGAAGGAGGAATATCAGGTCGAAGTGTGACAAACCTGCAAGACTCTTTGAGACAACCATGCTTTTATATTCCTCCTAAATTCCGGCATTCTGATGCATTCTGGTATGTCCTCAAGCAATCAAATCTTCACGACAAAAAGAGGTCAAAAAGGGAACCGCACTGTCGTCATCGCACGTGCTCCTTGCTGCGATGACTCGGTAATCCACCTGAGGAGTTCTACGTATCGGTTTCTCCCACCAATACGTACCATGGTTTTGAGGATGGTGTTGGAATGCCTGCTTTTGGGTGGTCAATTCCCGGATTTGTCCCAGACTTGAAGGAAGTACGAAACATGATATTATACCAAGTTCATGTTCGTACGATTCAGTCAGATACTGTGATTCTGACATTCTTTTGATTGTTTTGATGATTTCACTCGAACTTCAGATGTACTGGAGTGTTCTTCGACGTCGCCATCGATCCGTTAGGATGCCCCGGGCAGCGACACAGAGTACAGGTTGGCAAAAAGGGAGGATCTGGTTCAGGGCATCCGGAGACACTAACTCGCCAACCAACACGTTCTTCATATCCGTTTCAAAGGGATATGTCCAATTGGTGTAGCCTTGCCCTCCAAACGCGGTGCCTGTGAAATTGGAAGGTGTGTAGGAACTCATCGAACATCCTTTAAAGAACGTTGTTTTGCTGATGCTGTTTTGTTTGCTATTCGATATCGTTTGTAGGTATAGGACTACTGCCTTGTATCTCAACGAAAAGGGACTGGACACACGTTGTCGCATTTCGGGGACTGGCCAGGACGCGCATGGACGCGCATGGACGCGTTGAGACGGGCGCCGCGGGTCTGACTTCTTTCTCACCGGTTTCGGTACCAGAAGTCGAAGCATGGCGACCTCTTTTCAGTGCGCTGTCGGTCCTGCCGTGTGTCCTGTCGACCTGGACACCAGGCCTTTCAGCTGGTGCGAAGTCTGGGAGCTCATCGTGCCCGTGTGCCTTTCTTTGCTTCTTGGAGCTGAGCAGGGATTTTGCGTATGGGATCAAGCATGTCATTTCCAAATTCTTGGCCGGTGTTTCTCCTTCGAGCTCTAGCTGTTTCCAGTTGGGCAGTTTTTCTCAAGCTGGTCCGAAAGGAGTGAAGAATGCCCAAATGAGTTCAGGAGCGAAGCGTTTCTTGATCAACGGGAAAGAAGCTGCGTTTCGCTTGCTGCGTTCGGGGCATCTCCGGTTGAAACGAACAGCTCGGATGGGTCGCTCGAGGGAGCCACCGGATCGGAACTTTCGTTCGAAGGAACGAACCTGTTGACAGACGGAGACGGAGACGGAGATGAAATATATATCCCCCAAATGTGTTTTCCAGGCTTGAGGAGGTGTTTTTTTATATATTTTTTTCAATAGAGGGGTGTTTGATTCATCAACAATGTATAATCATATACTGTAGATATCGTGCGGATTCGTGCTAAATCTCTGAGGGATGATGGTTCTTGGCATGAATGCCGGTCAGAAGCCAAGCCAATC